TACTACTACTAGCTACTGCTACTGCTACTGCTAGTGCTAGTGCTACTGCTACTGCAACTGCAGCCGGTTTGGGGGTCTGGACTTTGTTTTGCCGTAAGCGTGTAGGTGGCTTGGGGCCCGTCCTTAGTCCCGGCTGGAATTTATGGCCTGGGCTATCGTACAACATGATTGGATTGTGCCGTGGCTATCGATGCAGTGGCCAAGAAAATCCTTAATCCCGAATCCCTGCAGCCCAACTTCAAGCCACCAAGCCCTAGGACGAAGGGTTTGGGGGTTTAGGGTTTATGGAGTTTAGGGTAAAGTTTAGGGTTAGGGTTTGGGGGTTCTATATATACATATATAGCACCACTGCTGCTGCAACTATTACTCGTGCTACTGCTGCTGCTGCTGCTGCTACTGCTACTGCTTTGGTTGCTACTGCCAGTGGTGCTAGTACAACTTCTATTCCAACACTGCTGCTTGTGCTGCTGCAACTGCTTCTGCTGCTACTGCTTCTGCTGCTACTGCTACTGCAACCGGTTTGGGGGTCTGGACTTTGTTTTGCCGTCAGCGTGTATGTAGGCTTCGGGCCCGTCCTAACACCGGTGGGACCCGGCTGGAGCTTGTGGCCCGGGCTATCACATGTAATAGATTGTGCCGTGGCTATCAATGCAGTGGCCAATCCCGGATCCCTGCAGCCCAACTTGAAGCCACCAAGCCCTAGGACGAAGAGTTTGGGGTTTAGGGTTTATGGAGTTTAGTGTTTAGGGTTTGGGGGTTTAGTAGATTGCCCTCGAGGTTTCAAGACGGCCTAGCAAAACCCGAAATAATTGCAGTACTCATGATCATAACACCCACTGGGTACCCCTAAACCGAGGTCACACAATAACATGTCCACCATATGTCTCCAGCCAAGGGCACGTGTCATCCACGGATAGCGTCTTCGTCCTTGCACCTGGGCGACATACGAGTTCGTGGAGATCGGAGTAATGGTGACTTCGCTAGGTCCAGCATGATAATTGAGTCCAGGGACAGCATCTGCGTATCGGAACGAGGCAGTAGGCTCATGCAAATCTTTCTCATGAGGCCTATCGCGAACTACCAACATCACGGCCTCTAATCTAAAAGGCCCGACGTTCATCACTGCACCCCAAAATGCATGCCTCTTGTAAGTCTAAGCGTAGCCTGGTGCAGCCAGAAGACAGGGTCGCATTTATGATCAAGCATGATTGTCATACCCGAGGGCCTCGAATGCTAAAGTACACAATTTCGCGGCTGGGGAATTTCTGCAGTCCCGGGATCGGCTTTCGTGATCCTCCCAACTTTCGGGGGAGATGTGCCCAGAAGGAATCACCATCTGGTTCGACGTCTTGCAAATGCAGAGCTGGTATGCAGCATTGCAGCAGTATAATTTGATCATGGATCATGAGCATGAATAATTAAAATTGGATCCGAGCCGAACACTCTCTTCAGGCCAGGGTAAACTGCTACTAGGAACTTAAAGTCTGGGGTGGTAGACAACCGTGGCCATACAGCTAGCTAGAGTCTTCGAATTCTTAAGTTAGAGGGGTCGTACCATCGCAGGTTTCATGATCAGCTACTTCGGATGAATTGGAGCCTGGTGAGTGTCAAGGGCTTCATCCTAGGCGTTGAAATATCAACGGTCAAGCGAAGTGCGGGCCATGCTCGGGGCAGGACAGTGTGCAGCTATACGTCAGTTAGAAGCTTAAGTAGCAGCATCCTCTAGATCTGTACACAACTTGAGCAGGCACACAGATCTAGACATTCGGACTGTCGAGAGGCTCACGAGCTTCGGCGTCCAGCCCCCTTCCTTAGGTACAACTTCCCGGGCTCGCATGCAAAACTCGTCCTAGCCAGCCGAGGCTCGTCGTCTTCCTCACCTTCTTGGCTGGCAGATCACGATCGCCTTCCTGGGCCGAAGTTTGTGATGATGGTATCGATGGGACTTGACTTGGCTTTAGGTACGGGGGTTTTATACGTATGGGGTTCGGGATTAGTTTTTGCGGGCTTCCATTATGTGATCATATTTCTTTGCTGGTTTGCTTCGATCCGTAGGGTTACAAGTGAGCGAGAGTTTCGGGGGTCCACCTAGCTCGCTATTCCTGTCCTGGGGGCGTTAGCTTCGAAGGGTTTCGGGTTTAGGGTTTAGCTCAAAAAAATATTATAATATTATTATAAGTATAGGGCCCTATTTAGGATTAGGGTTGCTCGCACAGCTAGCACTATATTCGTATGGGTTCGAACCCAGCTCATGCGTGGACTGCTCGCGGGTGTGAGCTTGATCGAGATCTTGGCCTCAAGACTACACCCGGGCCCTTGCAATAGCCTAGCTCTATATATCGAATCCCTGCAGTTCCCTCGTGCCACAAACGTTCATCCAAACTCAAAGCTGACCCGACACAATTGGGGCTTTGGGTTTTAGGCTTTAGCTATAGGATTATGGATTTAGGGTACGGTTAAGGGTTTAGGGTTTAGGGTTGAGAGGCCAACAAATCCATCCAGGATAAAACTATAGCTATGGCTAATTATTAATTAATCTGATCTCACATCGATTTACAGCTACCCGTGCCCCCAATCTGAGGTTTCATGAATGCGAGCTGCATCGAGCGGATCAACATCACCGAGCCATCCGGCGATGAACTTCGCCAACTCCCACCTGGGCAGGCCAGTGATCAGAGATTACAGCTATGCTAGTAATTGTACCGACATAGTTCGAGAGATAGTGGTTTGGGGAACCATTTGCAAACATAGAAGACCGAGACTGACATTATTGTAACGACATAGTTCCTGAGATATAGTGTCTTGGGGAAAACAAATTCAACATCCGACAGAAGACTGGGTTTAGGGTTTAGGGTTTAGGGCATAATTAGTGTACATGCTTGCTTCAGTGGGGTTGCCGGCTTAATGAAGCGAATCATCGATCGGTAGGACACTGTAGCAGTACTATGCATCCAAGTGTCGCCCGGCACAAGCCACCTTGTTTTCCCCAAGATACTGTGCTGCCCCCCTTGAGGTCCACACTCACCTGAATGCTGGGCTCGGGTCTGTGCGACATGCTTTGTATACATGCATGCACATACTCCATGCATGCTGCTGCTGCTGCTGCTGCTGCTGCTGCTAAGAGTCATTGTAAGTTGCGGCATCGGCTGGCCGAATAACCCTCTGAACATAAAAGCTTGGCACATAGAGGGACACAGTGATGGGGTTGATCTCGGGCATGTCCTCCCTCCCGCGTGGCGGCCAGACTGTGAAGGATCTGAGCGAGGTGCTGCAAAGATTAAGCTTTACGAAAAAACATGTATGCACTGTACACACATGGTGGCGTGCCACAAAATAGCTCATGCGATCAATATCAGACGAGGCACTTGGCAGTAAACCCTACAGGTGGTTGCAGATCTGGCAGCTCATCAGCGTGAGTCCGGATGAGCTGGGTGTTCTCGTCGGCTGTCTGCTGTCGCTTAGCCGACTCCTGCTCTTTCTGCTCCTCCGTGAGTGGTGCTTTGGATGCCTTTGCCTTCCCCTTCGCCTCTGCTTTGGCCTTCGCCTTGCTCTCAGCCTTAGCTTTGGGTTTTGGGCCCGGATTCGGCTTTCGCTTCTTCGACTTGGGCTCTGCCTCTACGGCACTGGGCATCGCCTTTGTCTGGTCGTTCTCCTTGGGCTCTGCCTCTACACCGGAACTGGGCATCGCCTTTGTCTGGTCCTTCTCCTTGGGCTCTGCCTCTACACTGGCACTGGGCATCGCCTTTGCCTGCTCCTTCTCCTTTGGCTCTGCAGCTCGCTTCGGCTTGCGGCCACGGCGAGCTTTTTGCATGGGGTCACTTACCGGCTCGGCACTCTTCCCAACCTTCGGCGACGGGGTCTGCTCGGTCATCTTGGCGTTCATGGCAGCCTTGGCCCGTGGTCCTGGGCCCTCCATTGCCTCGCGGATTGATGCTGCATGTGCAAGCTAATTATATGATCGCATCATGATCTAATCTCGCTGACTGCATGTGTACGTATACACATATATGCGGATGCCTTGGAAGCATGATGCTCCTGCTTCTGCACGGCTTTGATACACCTTTGCTTGTCTCTGGTGCCGTTGAGGTCGCAGGTCTTGTCGTCGTCCAACATGTCCAGCAGCTCCGGAGGGATATCGCATCTGTCTGGCAGGAGTGGTTCCCGATCCTCACATGATTTTCTATGCAACGGTTCAGGGTTTCGACACTCACACTCGTCTGGTGTAGGGTTTAGGGTTTATCGTGGTTTATAATATAATAAGGGTTTAGGGGTCCCTATGTCTATCCCGATAGGAGTTCAGCCCCATGATATCTAGATCCATATTATTACAAGCCTGAGGTCAACCTTAATCCTTAAACCCAAGTCCCTCAACCCCCAACCCCACTAAACTCAATTCATGTGCCTGCACCCGAGCTCGATTAGTATAATTCGGGAGGCCTTGAAGCCTGCTGCCGATCCATTGGCGGAGCTGGAGCCGTGATCGAGCTTCTCTTCAGGCGAGTCAGCAACAGCTGGGGTGCTGGGCAACTCCCGGGGCGTAGGGATCATTGATCGTTCCTCATCCCAACACTCCAACTCAAACATAGCCTCTTCATCCAGGATCTCGTCAGGTCGAGGCACGTCCTGAGCTTAAAAGTTTAAGCGTCTATACTTGTAGGGTTGCACATGTCTAGCAGATAAACCCTGAGCATGAAGCTTAAGTAGTCTGCTTCCATGGTGCCTCGGGGCCCTTGAAGGACCCATCGTCCTCCATAGCCTCATCCATCTCGAGGTCCCTTTGAGACATAAGGCGATGCAGCTCCCTTTCCAAGTCCTGATCTTGAGAGCATGACCCGACTTGGGGAATCTATGTGAGGATCCAGTTCGAACATTATTAAGAATCTAATTCGGGCGAGTCTCATCTTCCAGATTTCGTGGTCTGATCGAATCTGCCAGAGCACCTGCATCATCACGTGGGGCTTCATCTTCTGCGGCTCCAGCATGATCACCCGGGGCTTCATCATCTGCGGCTCCATCATCATGATCACCTGGGGCTCCATCATCTAAGGCATCAGGCCCCAAATCTGAGCCATCTTCGATGGCATCGTCAGGCTCAGCAGCGGCGGCAGCTGCAGCGGGGGCATCCTGAGTCGGGCAAACAAGTTTGCGAAGTTAAACCCTAAACCCTAAACCCTAATACAAGAGGGGGCTTCCTGATGAGTCGGGCAAGCTATATTGCAAAGCTAAGTACATAAACCCTAAACCCTAAACCCTAAACCCTAAACCCTACACCGTGTTAGACATCCCACATGTACCTGAAATCCTAGCCAAATCTCCTCGACAACATCCAACAACTCGCCGTTGTCATCGGTCCAGCCCATCTTCGCGGCGAAAAGATTCTTCAGGACTTTTGTCCTCTTGGACCTGATCGATTGGCTTGTGTTCGAAGTCGGGGTTTCGGGGCTGTTGGGGTTAGGGTTTCAGGCCTAGGGTGTTATAAATTATTGGGGTGATAGGTTCGAACTCCATTGCTATGCTTGAGCGGAGGCTTGATGGTTTAGGGTGCCCAAGCAGTGCGAAGTAGGAACCAATAAGTCCCAAGCCCGAGACACCCAAATTTAGCCCTAGTCGAAAGCTTAATAAGATGATCAAGTTTAGGAGTTTCGGGGTTTAGGGTTTAGGGGCGTAGGGCTTATGTAGGTTTTAGCATAAGGCTGTAAAGCGAGGCACTTGGCGTCCAGGGTTCGCCGTGTAACCCTCGCCAACTGGGCCAGGATGGCCCTGAACTTTCCACCCTGCTCCGAGGACCAATCCTGACATTTTGAAAATATGCAGCAATGTAAACTTACAGCATGCAGAATTCGAACACTCCCAGAACGATCTTTATTTAATTATAGGCTCCTTGACGACCTGCTTTCCTCCACGGGCCCTCACCCCGGGATGGAGAGCATGCGTGCAAGACAGGTGGACCAAGGCCACCTGTAGCGGTGCAGGTATAGTCGATTCGATTCGAAACATCTGGAGGATGCAATGTTCGCGAAAGCCTTGAAGTCGGTGAGGCTGGGGATTCCCTCTGGCGTAATGGCTCTCACGATGAACATCTTCAAAAGGTCATAATTCGCATGGAAATCAGCATCACAGACCTCACCAGACATGTTTATGAGATCACTCAACATCGCAGCTTTTCGCACCCCCTACCCCACACACACATACTCGAATCCCACCTTCGTGCCGGAGCTTTCCTCGCTGGGCTTCACCAAAGCTTTCGCCTCGAGCCCACTTATTAAATCAAGAAAAATCGTATCACCTGTGCCCACACTGCGTCTGCAACTAAACGGAATTCGAAAATATAATGCAGAGCGAGCCACCTCATGATTCCTGATCTTCTCAAGATTTTGCTCCAGATAAGGGCGAAATCCTTCGGCAATCCTTTCGGCGCTTTCCTGAATTAGTGGGGCAAGAAGGTCATGCGAAGGCGATGGGACTGTACATGTCAAGCTATTTTAGGCAGGCCAAGGATCATTGAGGTAGTATTTCATCGGCTGACTGAACTTGCGTTCGAGCAGAGCCAGAGCCATGACGGGATCTTTCCAAACAACCGTGTGCGGAGAAGCCCTTAAGAGCAAAGCTTTGGTCTAGATCGTGCACTTAGCCTAGGGCCCCTTTATGTTGCAAGTCGAAAGCCGAAAAAGCCTGCGATTCATACCATTATTCATGCATTCACTGCACTGCGAACACTTCCAGAAGCGATCAATCACACTGCAGTGCACAGCGAGCGATGTGGGGGGGTGCACCACCTCGCTTGGAGTTCTTCGACCCATGGCGTTTTCGAAACAGGAGCGAGGCTTTCAGCATCGCAAGCGAGTCGCCCACAGCTTTTGAAAATTTATGCTACTGCATGCACCCTGAAACTGCCTGATGCTATTGCATGCAACCTGAAACTGCCTGAAACCCCATTGAACATGTCGAGCACCGGTGGGCTAAAGACGATGACTTGATGCTCAGATGCTGTGGCTGTCGCAAAACCATCCAGAACATGGTTTCAGCCTCTGAATCCATTCCTGAGCTTAATTCCATCCTCAGCATGTTTTTCCCTGATAACTCAACAGTTGAGCACTCGGACCCTCAGGGGTAGGGTTTTAATGTTCAGGTAGTTCTGGCTACAGCTGTTTTGATTACCGGTACTGTGCCCTCTGGTTTTCACCTGCCTCTCCGTCTACTGGAGAATGAATGTAGAGCAGGGTGAGAGTTTTTTTGGGGGCGTTGATGCTTGTTGGGTGTCAGGCTGTCAGGGGCTTGAAAGGTTACCCTAAAGCTTATAAGCCCCTCCAAACTGCAAAACCATATCAACCCTAAACCTCGGACCCTAAACCCTCGCCCTAAACCCTAAAACCTAAGCCCCACAGCCCTAAACCCTAAACCCCAAACCCTAAACCCCTAAACCCTAAGCCCCTGAATCCCTTTAAGGAACTCTATAGATCTCTTTAAAGAACCCTTCGAAGGACCTGAACAGTAGGGCCAAGTCTGCGCCGGAAGGCGTCCCCCTTCACTTGTCGAGGACGAACGCGAGGAGCGTGATCGCGGAGATCGAGGCTTGCGGAGTGATGCCTTGCCTTACAAGTTCCTTTAACCCTAAGGCTCAAAATAGCCCAAAAGCCTTACATAGTATGGTATTTGGGCCCAAAAGCCTGAAAATTTGCGTCCTTAGAGCCTTAGGGTAAGGGTTTCTTTTAAAGTTTTGGGGTTTAGGGTTCGAGGGTATACTTTAAAGGTTCCGTTACAGGTTCCTTTAAGGGCTCCTTTAAGATTTTTTCTTCGGGTTTAAGAGGGCTGTTTAAAGGGTCCCTTTCAGGGTTCCTTCAAGGACTTTCACAGATTTCAGGGTTCAGGGATAGGATTCTTTTCAGGGTTTCTTTCCGTCTGCTTTCAAGACTTGTTATACCTAACTAAATAAAGGTACGTACCCTAACCCTGAACCCCTAAAAAGCCCCCCTATGAACCCCAAACCCCCATGAGCCCTGACGCTTGCAAGCCCGCCCTACAGTAGTTATTCCGGCCCTTTCACTGCACCCTAAACCCTAAACCCTAAACCCTAAACCCTAAACCCCAAACCCTAAACCTTAATCTCCTCAGTCCCGGGGGCGTAGACGGCTGGGCTACTTCTCACCTATTTGGCCAAGGGCCTAGGGCTAGGGGCTACCCATAGGCTCCATTGTAGTTCCTTTTGTGGTTTATATTTACAGTCCGATAAGGTAACCCCTAAAAGGAACCACAATGAAGCCTAATATAGCCATACTCGGGATTCTTAGCTGGGTGAGTAGCGTCTAAGCGCAACCCGTCCAACCTCTTCTTCTCCAGAACAGGGAAAACCCTTCGACTACGATGAATCCAGATCTTGCTAGTGGAAAACCCTTAGTGCGGGAGCGAACGGTTTTTGAGCTGCACAAAGACGATTCTTTACAGCCCTTCTAGCAACCGATGGTGGACCCAGCGATTGTCAAAACCCATCCAAAACCTTTGATTGACAGTTTGTCAATCCCACTACGGCGATGTGTGAAACTTAAAACAACGACGCTGAACCCACAAAAATTCTAAAGCTCCCTTACAGGATCAAGTATCCTGGTTCCCGCCACACCCCCCCTAAACCCTAAGACCTAAACCCTAAACCCCAAACCCCAAACCCTAAGCCCTAAACCCCCTCCCAACAAGTCGGAAGCTTGCTGGCCGTCAGGCGAGGGAAGTGCAGAGAAGGACCCGGTTTCTTTGGGTTTAGGGGCTTAGAGGGGCTTAGACTTTACGGGTTTAGGGCTTAGGGTTTAGGGGCTTAGGGTTCAGGGTTTAGATTTACTTTGGGTCCTTGTTAGATACATTTTTTACATTTTTTGTTGTAGCAAAAAACCCAAGAATGTTGTTTTAATTTTATATATATATATATAATTTTAAATAGAGCTCCAACAGGGAGCCTGTTACAGTGGAAGCCCAATAGTTGGAAACCCAATAGCCTCAATCCTGAAGAGAACCCAGGGGCTCCATACTGTTGGTGATAGAAACCCTGCATTACCTTAAGGACCCTAAACTATGGCAATTATGGTATGTTCCTTGTTATGGGTGATGCAGGATTTATATCATCAACCATAGTAGTTCCTTTAGGGATTACCTTATCGGATCCTAAATACAAACCACAAAAAGGAACTACTATGGAGCCTATGGGCAATTTTTCAGGACTCCCAGCACTAATGCCCTGAACTAAGGGGATGCGGGACCGCCTGAAGTTCTGTTCGCCTGCGGCGTTTTTGAATCTATGTTTGAGTCAGACGCACCTTCTCTGGCAAGAGCACTTGCGCAGCTTGCCTTGACCAGAATCCCGAGGCTTTAAACCAGAAGCTAGGCCTTACGTACCCAAACCAATCGCAAGCGCCAAACGTTAAACTCTTACCCGTAACCTTACACTTAGCGCAGAGAGAGAACTCGAGGAACCACCTTTCAACAAGATCAAAATCGTGTTAAACCTTGAAGGCTTAGCTTGCTCTGATGCACCCTAAACCCTAACCGGTCTAGGGTTTGCAATTCTACACTTGCTGCAGGAGCGGCGCTACCGCGAAGAAAGGGATGGCCGCCATAGGGATGATCGTGAGAGAGATGGCGGGGCCCTTACTTTGGGTTCTTGACTAGAGTCTAGGGTTTGCCGTTTTTGAACTAGCAGCTGTGCTGAATCGATGCTTAGCTGAAACCTCGATAAGAAAGGCAGAGAATCTCTGGTTGAAGTGGCCCTGACCTTATTCTAACCTGTTTGTTCAACCCCTACAGCGGTAAGATACTTTTCGGAAGATTTTCCTGAAACCCTATTGTAAACTCGCAACCCTGCATAGCAAAGCCAAGCCCTAAACCCTAGAGCCCTAAACTCTAAGCCCTAACACCCTGAGCCTTATCACCATAGGCAAGCCCCTATCCCCTACCTGCAGCCGAAAAGACCTGCCTTTTTTAAGGAACTGTATATTAGAAACTATAATAAGGAACCCTACAAGGGTAGGCCTTTTCGGTTACAGGTAAATCCCAAACACCCCGTCCTAAACCCAAGCCGGAAAGAACAAACCCTAAGCCCCACACCCTCTGAACCCTAAACCCTACACCCTAAACTCCTAAACCCTAAACCCTCTGCTTCATGGGGCCAGGCCGTGATCGAGGTCGCGATGGAGGTCGTGATATGCGCGACGGTGCAGCCCTGAGAGGATCTACAGGGGATCTATGAGGTTTAGGGTTTGGGGGTTTGAGGTTTAGAGATCAAACCCTAAACCCCTAAACCCTAAACCCCAAACCCTAGCCCCCAAACCCCTAAACCCCTGAACCCCTAACCCCCTAAACCCCTAAACCCTACACCCCTAAACCCTAAATCCTAAACCCCCAAACGTCTGCCAGGCTCGGGACTTCTATGATGCCGGCTCAAGGTAACATCGTAGTCTCCGGGCCAGTATCTCCAGTTTGGGTTTAGGGTTTAGGGTTTAGGGTCTAGGGTTTCCCCGACCCGCGACCGAGGAGCCTAGTTCCAAAACGGTAGGGAGAACTCTTTCGGAATAGAGGGTTTAGGATCTTACAACCCTGCTTACTACGGTTTTTTGATCCATGCACCCTAAACTCTATCAGCCAAGGGATCTAGAAGGGGTCTCTATGCTTGATACAACGGTTGTAGGTTGCATAAGGGTTCTGCAAGCATTTGATAAGGGCTCGATAAGCGTTCTGAAAGGGTGTCACTACAAGGATTCTATACGGTCAGGGCTTCTGCAAGGATTCCAGAAGGGCTCTAGAAGCCCACAGCCCTAAACCCTAATCCCAAACCCCTCAACCGTCAACCCTAGCTTTCTAGAAGGAATCTTTCTGCGCGAGAGGCCGCGACGGCCGCCGCGACGATCGACGGGGAGACGATCGTGGCCACTCGCCTGGACTAGTGACTAAACCCTGAGGGTTAAGGATCTAGAAATATCCGACACCGTAACTCTCAAGCCAAAAGACGTACACGCTGTAAGCCCTAAACCCTTGGCACTCAACCCTAAACTTTTCAGCCATAAGCACAAGAGCGGTTCAAGGTCACTTTTTCGGGTTGAGGGCCATGGCTACAAACTGCAAAACATGCAGTGGCTACGACCCCTGTGTTATACAAAATGGCACTTTGAAGGAATGGGTCGTCAAAGCCACAAGTAGACCCAAAACACTCTTTCAAAGGGCTCCAATCATGGTGCATCTCTCTCTCTCTCTATATATATATACACACAGAAATGTACATACACATACACACACATATATATGTATGTATGTATGTATGTATGTATGTATGTATGTATGTATGTATGTATATACATATATATATGTATATATATATATATACATATACTTGTTTATACTCATATATTATAAACTAAGAGTTTAGGGGTTAGTGTTTAGGGCATAGCCTTCAACGCAGTAGGTTCTTGGATGCGCAGCTGGGGTTTACGGGTGGACGCGCTGAAGGGTTTTAGGGGTTTTAGGGGTTTAGGGGTTTACCGAGAGACTCCAAGGTCCCTTAGTTAAGGGAAAAAAATTTAAA